CAGATATTGTGGCAAACGCGTATGATATCGCGATTCGTGTCGGTATAGCGAGCGAGCACGGTTCAACAGATTTCGGAAATATCAGATATTGTAAAATACATAGATATAGAACGATTAAGCGATATTCGGAAATTGTACTAATATCTAGTTTTTATATCTGATACGATTTGTATCGCCCACTTCTACATAGCTTACTATCTTGTGTGAGAGAACAGGTTTTGCCGTGGTTCCAGTTCCATAAACATTGTAATGGAATGAATTTATGATGAAAAAACACGTATTTAACGCATTTGATGCTGTTGTTAAATTCTATTGAATAAAAAGGTGTTTATCTTAAAACTGTAGATTAATTTCAGTAGGACTAAAGAATATGTTGTGTAAAAGCTATTTGCTAAATTTTCACGCATAATGAAAACATTTAAAAAGAAGATGAAAACCGTTTCATACACTTAATTACTTTATTATTAATTATCTAAAATGTGAATTTTGTTTTGTAGATAAAATCTCAAAATGTTTACATTTAATTTCATTTTGAGTGCAGAGATTAGCACACACAAAATAAAACTAATCTTAAATGAACTATGTTAATAATTGTATAATGTACATTTGAGTCAAACCTATCATCATCATTGAAAAAAAATACTACTAGCTCCCTATACCATTTTGATTTAAATATACTTTTATTGGTTGTAGATATTTTATTAATACTCAAGTTATTGTTGAGATCATTGTGTTCCAGTAAATTTCGAGAAAATTAATTTAATTTACTAAGCATATGTACATGCATTAGCATTCATTATAATCGTGCTCGATACAAGGAAATTAATTATTAATGTCGAGTTAGTTAATCAGTGGCAGTCGAGACAGAGGTGATTTACTGGCCGGGTATCGATTAACGCGAGAAGACAGATTAGAGACCTAGGTTTTGTCTTTTAAATTTCTTGTGATTAATAAATAATCAATGTTACGGTGATAGATATTATAGTCACTTTTTATGTTAGGTTTTCGGTATATTTTATATTTATATCCTTACATTACCTTCTTTACCTAACATAAAACATTTTAATTTTTTTATTTATTAAGTTTTCTAAAATAATATACGATTCGCTATACTAAGAACGTTTCTCTTTGAAATTCATGTCATATGCATTACTAACAGAATCTGCCTGTGGCGTTTAGGTCCTCCATTACAAAACGGTGTCCACATCGTCGTCAAATATCATTCAGGTACCTGGAAGTAGACAACATAAAACAACAGAACCTGTACATGTAAAGAAATACTTTCTGTATATTATTATATTCTGAAAATATTAAACAACAATCAGCAGACATTGCCATCTACGTATATGTAGAGAACCCAATGAGTTTTACATGTTTCTTTTTGACATTATGATATTAATAAAAGCTAATATAATAAGTTTGTTCTGTCTTTGCGAAAACTTTTAATGAGAAAGTACCGCGTAGCGATACTTCTGCTGCTACGAGCACTCTCAAGTTACTGTAGCGTTATCGTCTATGGTAACTTAATGATATTTAAAAGTAATTTAAATGTTTGATAATTATATTTCGGTACAATTTACATCTTTCTTTTAAAAAACGAAATTTTATACGTTAAATAATATTAAATTTACAGCGCTACGGGAATTGAACCCATGTCTTGCGGTCTTCTTCTAGGCGCGATGGCCGCAGAAGTGTGATTCACGCACGTGACGAAAATTTTCATCAATTTTTTCTACAAATGTTAACTTTAAATGATGTTTATTTTTATGTCTCTTAATTAAATATGCGCAATTTTTACATCTGTTTAAGCCTTTTAACAAGCTCAGTGCATGACGAGGCTTTATTTACTTACTCTACGACAAGTTCGCCTAATATGAAAGTTCTTTGTTCATATTATTTCTAAAGAATAATAATTACAACGCGTATGACATCGATAAAAGCAAACTCAGGTGGGCACGGAGAAGTTTATGAAGATTATACTATAAATAAGGGGTGGTTGTAATTGGCATCTGTTGCACGTACTGATTGTATGTGATGAGGGCTTTCTCAATCGCTGCGACGTATAGCTACTACGTGTCCATAAGCTGGGCAATGCCTTTTCAAATCCGCCAGTGGCTCTCGAAACACGGTACACCTGCGTCGAAAGTCAATGCCCTTCTTCTTTTCGTGTCGATGGCAATACCTATTTATATTGGGTTTGCCATCGTGTCGTAGTAATTAGTTTCACGGTTTCTGCCGCTACTCACGAGGAGGGCCCGAGCAAAGGTGACGCTCTACGGGAAGGCTTACTACGTCCCCCCCAATGTCAATGCCCTAAGGGACTTAAAGTAATCCAGACCAGCGAGAACCTTGATCTGCTCATTTCATTTTATCCAATCTACGTCGAGGCAAGAGAGCCTTAGTCGGGATGCCGTAAATGTTTCAAAGGAGATGGTTCATAAGACATTACTTTCGACTCACATATGTTTAGGTCGTAAATGTAAGACAGAATTTTCTTCTCTTCAATAATTAGATAATATTTTACAGGAATAATAGTGTTTTTATTCATAATAGTGTATTAAACAACAAATCTGTTTATTACAAATTTGATGTTTTATTTTTGCTGATTGTTATAGCAAACTCGAAGTTCACGATTGATAAAGTTACTTACTTAATCGAGGGACAAGACGAAAACGAAGAATTTATTATATTTAATATTCGCCTCCTGCTAAGTGAAAACTTAAAGGTGATATTTATGACGCTGATAATGTTCTATCAACCCAGCGGCAGTTAGGAATCTAATTAAAATGTCCCAGGTTAACGCGTCAGAATTGTTCATTCAAAGATCTTCGTAGCTCCCTTTATTAATGATGTAATATTGTTCGGAGCTAAGTTGATTTTATTATAATTCGTACCTCAAATGACATGGCCAATTTCTCTATGGAAGTCGGCATGTTAATCGAATTTTGTGTACAGCGATAATTTTGGGTATTTTATATTCGTGAATACATTCGTGTTTTATATTCGTGGCACTTTAAAATCCTATAAGTAAAAAACTCAAAGAAATTTTCATTACATCAGACAAGACGCAAATGTGTTACGAGTCTAGTCTGTTGTATTTTCATTATATAACTAGCGACCGGCCCCGGCTACGCACGGGTGCAATACATATGAACCTTCCTCTTGAATCACTCGAGCTAGTAAAAAAAACCGCATCAAAATTCGTTGCATAGTTTTAAAGATCTAAGCATACATAGGGACAGACAAACAACGGGACGACTTTGTTTTATACTATGTAGTGATGGACAGCAAAGAGACGTTTACATTTCAAGTGACATATTACCACCGTCACTTGTTTTGCCTTCCCGGAAGCGCTCCACTAATAATTAAACTTTATGGTATGGTATAAAAGTTCAAATTGACTTTTAAGTATTATTACGAATCTTTTGTACGGGAATACAGAAAAGTATTGTTTTTACACTTTTTGAAGCAATTTTTTAAATTTCTCTCTTTAAGAACTATCCTCGTACTTCAAGGAATATTATAAAAAAAGCGAAATAGGTTCAGTTGTTTTCGAGATTTGCGCTTAGCAACACATACAGCGATTTATTTTTATATAAAGATATTTAATGTTTATATAGATATTTTATATTTCAATACGGATAGCTCATTGTCGCTATCTTTTAATTCGATATACTCGGCCAACCTGAGTTGGAAGCCCGGTGTTGGCATTAATGAAATTGTTAATTTCAATTGCTGTCTTAAGATGAGAACTGAGAAGATGTGATCATTTTCTAACTATACTAACTTTTTTTAACTTTTAAACTAGGCATGTTACGTATAACATGCCTAGTTTAATTTAATATACATAATTAATTTCTTATAAAGTTTTTGTAGGGCTAACCTTTGCTTCTTCGCTGCTGCGGAATCAAACTCACGCCTTCCATAATCATAGACCATAAAAATAAATAATAGAACTTAACATATAACATTAAAGGCAAGTGTTTCGGATTATCGTTGTAATACGTAATTTGATGCATGGGCATAGCTGAAAAGAAGAAAAAGCGATAACAAGTAATACGTTGAGGTTAAAGCGACGCGATTCTGGAAGACTGGTTCGATTCTCACAGTATTGTAAAAAAATTCGTCTTTTTTCTACTAATTAATGTGCATAAACGTGCACCTCTTTGAAATTGAATGTATTAAAGCTTTCAAAATGCGAAAAATTTTAAGTAGCAAATGTATTAATTATAACCTTTTCTAGATAAATGATCAAAAACTTTCTTCTCTGCGGGATTTTAACCTGAGTTTTCTAGCTTCATCTCTTAGAAATTTACAAAAAATACTTTTAGATGATAACTTTCTTGCTGCATGTTACAACTTTTCTCATTTCCAATTTGAAGTACATTGATATCAAGCTTCCATGTTTATGATTAGAATATGTACATAAATATAAACATATAATATTTTCCTTATATATCTTAATTCCATATATATTACTAGCTGATCCGGCAAACGTCCTTTTGCCATATAAATACATCTGGTGCCAATAAATAATTGGGTGGAATTTCATTAAATGCGTTCTTAGCTGACCTCTACTCGGCGAAAGGAATATTCTTACCAAAGTTCAAGTCTCTACGCCTTATGGTTTCAGAGATATCGTGATTAGTCAGTTATCGGTGTATATACTGATTGCATATGGAAGATTTCTCTTCGTTAACCCCTTTACGCCAACTACCTTTGATTGGATTTTTTTTAATCCATCCAAAGGTTGCCTGGAAGAAATCTCTCTTAGTAATAAGGCCGCCCATTGTAGCCATCACTTTTACATTAAGTTTTAATTTTTGTTTGTTTTATTTTTGATGTGCAATAAACTATATTCATTCATTCATTCATTCATTGGTACGTATTGTTAATTTTGTTACAAAAAAGTAAAAGGTCATACATAGATGGAGCTATTTTAAAAACATTATCGACCACCTTTTAAATTATAACGTTTGACATTAACAGCTTTGACATTACACTGGTAACATCCTCCGCAGCTCGTTGTCAAGCGTTCGACACCTACATAATCCATGCAGCCTGAATTTAGATGAGCCATTGAATACTAAATGTCGATGTAGGGGCGACGCATGCTCCAACCATATGTTATTATGCAAAACCCGTTGCACCCGTTCGAAACTAATTCCGACAACTTTTCGAATCACGCGTGAAGCGCAATGCACGAAGCTGCCTCCTGAATCCGCTGTTGGTGAGAGGGAGTGGCACTCACCGATCTGTGGCACGTCGTAGGGGCGGCTCGAGCGGGACGCCCTGAGCATCATCTGGCTCGCTATCTCGGAGGGCAGGTGGGCGCGCTTGTTGTTGCGCGCGCGGCGTCGCTCCTTGTGCAGGGCGGTCGCGGCCGGTTCTGGCTCGAAGAGGTCGTGGAGGGGCCGCGAGATGTCGCGGCTACGCCACTCTGCGGGGTAGTGCCGCGGTGCCGGTTCGGCCGCCGCTAGCGCAACCATAGCGACCGCCGCGGCTAGCCAGAGCGCACGCATGTTGACCGCCCGCCCGCACCACACGCGCATTGCCCGCTAAGTGCACTCGGCTCGCTCACCCGCCGGGCACGCGCCCGACCACATTATTCAGCTTTCAAGCGCAGTGCCAAGCACAGTCCGTGGCGCTTGGTTAGACCGTTGCCTGGTTCGACTCCTAGATCGCGTATCACCTGTGGCCTGCAACAAAACAGTAACCGTTAGTTTTACCCTTAAACTTGTCCTTTCAACTTGTCATTCTTTATGTGGCTGATGCTGGACGTATGCCTCTTTTAGTAGGAGACAAATTATTCGATTTTGCCTGCCAGCATCTAGTTGCTGTCGGCAGTCTTATGCAACTTAACACCATCACGTTCTTAATGAGAGAAGAGAAAAAACTGTTGAAAAAACTGCCCCCTTTTATGGAAATATTGGTGAATGATAGATTCCAATGAAGAGTCATTTTTATTTTCGTTTATAATTAAATAGGTGGTACATTGGGCGTGTTCCATTTATAATCTTTACTGCTCTAATGACAATAGTATCATCCAAAGCTCACGTATATGTTTGTAGATATGACCTACTATGCCTATTATGAGTAATATTTATATGTGATCTACCGTTTTTTACAAAATTTTAAAAGCAATCTTAAAATGGAAAAAGAAGTTACTTAAAGTTTTTCCATTAAATTAATTATTTAATCGCAGTCCACTTCATCCATATAACCTTTGCTTCACGCTCAAATAAGAAAAACTAATCAACAAAGTAAGGAATAACTTCATGCTGAAATTTATACCAGGTATAAAATTCATGTTATTAAAATGTTTGACACCTGTGTTTGACTATACCCTCTTTTCTAATCCTGTGTAGTGATGTAGTAATTCAAGCACGCCATACTATTCAATCTTGCTAAACACTCTATATTTATGTCACTGAACTCCTCCTAAACGGCTGGACCAATTTTAATGATTTTTTTTTAATGAAATTTTGTGTGTCTCTTCAGGTCGAGAGGTGGTTTCACAATTGGTGGTTTAACAAAAAAATTCGAAAAACTAGCTCGAAGGATTATACTTCATATCTAATCTCAACAAAGCTATTGAACAGGAGTGTATTTTATATAGTTCCGACGGAAACGAAAAAAAAAAAGCTACATGCCGTAGCCGGGTTTAGCTAGTCGTTTTATAGGAAATAAAGACTGATTGATGCAAGTCATTGGAGTGATTGATGATAATATATTTTTAAAAATAAAATTTTCCTTAATATTTATAGTTTATATTTATAGTCACGACGTCAATATTTGTTAAACGCCCAAATTACTGGTACTATTTGTGTATTTGTAGAGACAGCGGATAGAGCAAGAACGATAATTTGATGAGTTATTACGGACATCAACGTCTAAGGTAAACTATCTGCGGTCCTAACCACGAAATTTCAGGCTTTGGAAAAGACAAATACGTTGTGCTCCGAATTAGTGGTATAAAACACAATTATGTTACATAGAGAAATATGTTTTTGCATTGTCATTGCGTATTTTATGAGTAAAGTCGAAATTATTTATTTAATTATAAATTCAGTAACGTATTTAATGCGTTGTATATGGATAACTGAAATCTACGTTAAACTAATAATTAATTTTCGTTTTTAAAGTTGCATTGATAAAAACTTTTAGTTCTTTGATTCTTGTTTTTCATAAAATTTGTCCATTCTGTGTGTTGTATATGCTCTGACGTAAAGAAATTAAAGATGAAGTAGGTAGAAAGTCTTTTTAAATATCATCAGGTCCTGTGATAGAAGCTAAAAACATATTAAACCTGTTGTAACTATCGTTGGGGTCGGTACAATGTGGAAACTTTAACAATAAAAACGAACTACCTGTATTCCTAGTGGCGCCTTTGCCACTTCTTTCTGTTTGAATTCAGAATAAAACTTCGTCCACCATCTTATTTGTAGCTAACACAATCCCGGCCCAACGGGGAAACATTAAAGAATTCATAACGGAAGCAAACAGTGGAAGACATTTCGACCATTTTCATATAAGCGTTGTTTGTTAGGCAAATTATTATAGAGGGATTATATATAGGGATAGGGAAAAAGTTCAATTTCGCTTTGTAAAGTTAAGTATTAATTGTATGTTAATTGCTTGAGAGTTTATATCGCGTTTATTTCCGTCATTTATTTGTTTGAATCACTTCAGAAAGAGCTTTCTGGGTAGTTTAGCTTGATACATTTTTTTTTGGCGAAAAAATGAAGTAAAAAAAAGAAGGAAAATATTTAGTATTTCAAAAATAATTAAGTTATTCAACATTCTTCTGGGCGATGACAGACATAAAATCGGTTTGTAATTAAGACGCATGATTCGGTATTTCGTATTTCGTTAACCATCGTTTATTATCAGCGATTCTAAGAAATGATAAATTGCCGAGTCGTTTCCATTCAAATACCTAAGACCTGTATAATTAATTCTAACATTAATCTTGAGTATTTGCTCTAATAACTCATATTTTGTTTACTCGTGTTGTGTATATATTGTCGTTTTGTTTTTAAAGAAAATGCCATGTTGAGCTGCTAGCGTCATTAACTAAAGTAATATCGTTTATTAAGCACAAAAATGAATTAAATTAAAAAAAAATTATAACAATTTCCCATACTTTACGATAACATTATCCTGCATTTTATGGACGATTTACAAACATAAATTTCTCGCAGACAAACATCTGTGGATCACACAATTATTATATTATATATATTAATTATCCTGTGTTATTCGAAATCATGACCCCCGACGCCGAAGCCTACCTAGCATACCTTGGCAACTGCGTCACGGAGTCCTCATGATAAAATGAATTCGAATAATTTATAATTTTTTTTTCGTTTTCAAGCCTCGGTGGCTCAGAAATATTTCCAACCTTCATCAATGAAGACGTTAAATATTGGAATGAAAATTGGAACGAAAGAATGCATAATTCTAAAACATCGAAATTTTCAACTTTCATTCTTCCAAACGTAATATTAAAAATATTACTTGAGTATTATCTTAGTTACTAAGGCTGTGGAAAAAATTATTATGGTAACAAATACATTTTTATTACCGTTCTTAAAATTAATTAACTTTCTAATTGAAAACTTTACTTCATAAAATTTTTTTATAATACCTATATTTGAATAAACGATTTTTGTAATTAGAAAACAAGTTTTGATTGCATGGAAAACAACAATTATTTGTAAAGAAAAAAAAAATATTTCCACTGAGGGGCCTAAATTAAGTTATTAGAGATATCGCCTCATTTCGACTGTTTGTGGGAGCTATACGAGTAACAAATTAATTAATTCTCAAAAATCGATGAAAAACCATGTCACTCAAGTCTTTAATAAAATAAACTTTATTTAAATGCAAGAAAGTTTTTATTTAATAACCTTGAATGATTATCGATAACGTCTGAAATAAAAGTAAAAAAGTTTTGGTTGGTATTAATCCTTACTTATACTATAACAATAATGTTAATAAAATGAATTCGGGCGGATATAGTCATTGAGGATTTCAGTTATAGATGTTGCTCATAACCATTTATGATATCCGTTAATGTTATGATTTTCTTCTTCTTATATATGTTAGCTGTCGTCCCTTACCTAGGCTTTACAAGTTCATTGCGTAGATATTTTCTTAAAGTTTTTTACCTCAATATTAATGTGCTAAAACGAACATTTCATCTCCATATCTGGCTTTATTAATATAATTTAATATTTTCGAATCCAAGTTGTTAATTGTTGCGAATTGATGTTACAGCCCTGATCTTGCGCCATCGGATTATCACTTATTTCGAACATTGGACAACTCCCTTCGAGGTAAAACTTTCAATGATGACGCTGTAAAATCTCATTGAACTGAGATATTGGCTGAGACTCAGGCTGAATCAACTTTCTACGAGCGTGAAATTTTCAAGTTGGCAGAGAGATGGCAAAAGGTCATCGATCAAAATGGGAAGTACATATTAGATTAAACTTCATTCTAAAAAAAATCTTTTATACAATTGAACAAATCCGCAACTTACTTAGTTGCCAATTAGTATAAATAGTATAAAGTAACAGTTCAAAAAATTCCACAGAATTATTTGCGTTATATAAAGTATATATATATATATATATAATGGTTAAGGTATATGTATCGACTTATTAATGACACAGGGAAAGGAGTAAATTAAGATAATTATTTAGAAACAAAAATTATGAGATTACATACAAATTAAAAGATTATCTTTTCATTCACAACATATTTCGTACTTGCAGAAAATATACTTGCGTAATAAAATATTTTTCTTTGCAGACATCCTGTGAAGAGAAATATGTTTTATATCTCCTTTAGGTAATGGACCATGACATTGCGAATGAACGATGCGAGCTTTGGTACCCAAGTGGCAGATGTTTAATTTATACAAAAAATTCTGATATTTCCCTGTCTGTGAACTCTGTTGTACACGTTTCTTTTCTATTATACACGAGCACTTGTAAGATGATAAAGTAGTTATATTCTTGGATAAAATTCTTCACTTCTTAGATATCTTCAACAATTGACAATTTGTGAATATCTTACTTATATAAATCTTTTCAGCTATAAAGCACAGTCGTAGATATAACAAATACGCGATAGATCAATCAGCCATAGAAGTCTAAAGATATAAACTATCTACCACGTGTCTCTATTTTTCTTCTTTCGCTAAAGGTGATGGATTTGTTTTGTGGGTACGTAATACTTATTTAAAGATTTTTTTTCGTGACATCGCATCGGTTGGATATGGCAAAAGCGATATACAACGAGGTGTGTTCAGTATTGTACGGCAAAATCCATGCGGACAATTCTGAGTCTTTCAAACACTACCTATCGCTGACCTTAGGCATTTCTAAAATAGAATGTAGTGTGAAATTCTACAAACCGCATATCTGAATAGGGCAGCTGTTTAAAACGAGAAGCCTTTGATTGAAAGTTAAATTTAGTATTTAACCCATGAAATGGAACGTGGATAACATGATATTTGTCCACTGAGTTAAGCACAACATTT